ATGATATCATTACACACACGGGCATAACGAACTAGTTGGAATATATAAAGAACGTATGATGGAGCCAAAGGAACATCGCCGTCTAAAAAGGGAAAATTAACAATAGGGAATGAAAAATCGTCTCTTTTGTCGTAAATTTTAGTATTGAGTTTCCCTTTAGTAATTGAAATGTCTAAATCTAGAAAAGGACAACTACTACTGTTTATGTTAGATTTATTTAAAGTTTAAAAGTAAGTTCCTTCGGATAAATTTCAGTAGTATATTTAGAGAACTCTGGATTATTTAACGCAAAAATATCATCAAGATAAGGATAGGTATTGTTGAATGTGTCAACCAAATGTAACAATGACGGGTCTTTACTGAGTTTAGTCATAAACTGAGATTCATAGTAATACAGGAATAAATCTGCTATTAAAGGGGCGCAATTAGTGCCCATAGGAATACCTACTACCTGTCGATACACTTTATTACCGAAACGTACATATATGTTGTCCAGGAGAAAATTTAAACCTTTAATCATATCTTCACATTTCCAGTAAGTGTATCTAGCATACTTATCTTTTTCGTTACAGAAAAATGGCTTTAAACTAGTTACAGCAAATAAATTTGCAATGAGATTTTTCAAAAGAACATTTAATTAAACATGAAAACTTTTTCTTGATAAGATTGTGTGGAAGTGTAGCGTAGAGAATAGAAAAATGAGAACTGTCAACAGAATTAAAAGGACCCTCAAAAGCACGTATTTTATCTAAAACCTCTAGAGAATTTTTAACACTCCAAAAACAATTAATACCATTATTTTCATAAGCTTTACTACAAAAGTTAATAACAAGTTTTTTTATTGTAGTAAGGGAGGTAGTTAGAAGCACTGACAGATTAGTAGTAGAACACTTACTATATGCGGAGATGAAACGAAATTTAAATGGTTGTTTGCGTAATTTAGGTAACCAGTACATAGTCGGAACTTTCAAATGTTCGGAAGAGGCTTTAAGCTGGGTAGTGGCAGTGGTATGCTTGTTTACAATTTGACTATCTGTGGAGCTTACGGAGCTGAATGAAGAAGAATTGTTAATTTTGTTTTGGAGAACTTCCGTGTAATATATGCGTCACACCACCAATACATTATTGGCTGCTTTGTCTGCCGGTACGAACACAAATCGCTTTGCGAGTACTTTGATTTTATTTTTATTCTAGAAATGGGTATATCATGAACCCTATTATTAATTTCAGAATTGTTTTTAAAATGAGATATACGAATATCAACAGTATTCATGATTTTATTCAAATGACTGTGTAGAGAATGTTTTATCAGATTTTTCACGTTTACACCAATTTTTGCAGTAGGCAGACAGAGCGTCTTTAATGACCTGTTTCCAATCTATTATAGATGGAGGACGATATTCATGTCCTTTCTTCAGAAAAGTTTTGACCTCACGGTCTTCAACAATGCTGAGGTCTCCTGTAATGACATGACTATAGGGAACATATCTAAATCTAGATGTTTTATAGTCTCAAGTGGAAGGAGTATTACTTTCTATATTGACGTCTGATGTAACTGACGTGTAATTAAAAATCAAACTTCTGCTGGTTTTTTATTTAATAAAAATAAGAAATAAAAGGTGGTTCTGTATTATCAAAATATGGAGGTATTTGGCTGTCGATGGTAGAGTTATTGAATATACTAGACATGTTTATAAAATCAATACCTCTATTTATATATTTTAATTTAAGAAAATGTCGTTTATGATTTTCAAGTTTATCGATACTAAGAAACAGCCTGTGATGACAAAAGGCTGTGATAATACGGGTGTATTCATACAACGGGCTAAAAAATGAAATTTTATCGCACTCCAGAAAAATATCATATAGTTTACTTATTGGTATATTACCAAGCTGCATAGTAATTGATGTCTACCATTATTTTTTATTATAGATAACAGATCAGCAAGTGTATAATTTATACGATGTTTAATACGTAAATTACAGTTTTTACGTTTACGATGAGACCTATTATTTTTTAGCCGTTCATCTACAATATTAATGACATCGATAGAAGTTTTAGATATGTTCCCCTGTCCTAATATTTTACCATTGAGACCGAGAGGATAATCTGTTTGAAGCCTTTTTATCCAAAATAGTTCGCAAACTTTTTCAAATTGCTTATGTGATTTATGTTTGTTTCTCTGCATCAGATACGAGGAGGCTTGTTAGAGCTCCCTTGGTACCTGTTGCAGCTAAACAATCAATTATATTTTTTACATTTCAACCAAAAATATTAAAAAATAAAACAAAATAAAAACAACTGCAAATAAAATAAAGTGAGAGGACGTTTGCCATATTTCTGGAGTAGCAACTCTTAAATACTTTTATATTTAACATAATTATAATAGCCTGAATAACTTTATATCAATATTTTAGGTGTATTATATGAATGTCATGTAAATTACTGTATGTTGTAAAGATTATATTTGTTATATGAGTATGCCCCACCCCTGGGGACCTAATTTGGAAAAATAAAATATCTTATCTTATCTATTCAATAAAATTTAAAGTTTGAAAAACAGACACAAAACATATTCCTCCGAATAAAGTAACAATCTACAAAGTTAACTGGCTATTCAAAACAAATAAATCAACCACACAACAAGAAAAAAAAAGAGAATGTATTGAGTGACCACTGTCCTTGTTAATGACATAATAGTGTAAACAGGAAAACGATTAATGGTACAAGATAATCCGAGTCTAATAAATGCCAAAATGTTGACTTAATTGTGTTTTAATTGCTTATTTCTTCAAAACGACTTCACACATGAAATTTGGTACACACATGCACTGTGTCTTAATTATTGCTTTGATCAGACTACAAAATATCGTGATAATACACGTAGTAATTTTGATTTCGATGAAAATGGTGTACATTTTGGGTAAAATTTTATTCTTACTAAAATGCTGAAATTCTTATAATAAAATCACTTTTACTTTCCATTTTAATAATTGTATTTTCATGTTAAAAATTCCCCGTACAATACGCTATCTTGGGGTTCCCTGTAAAGAAACTAAATTTATAATATCGTGACAACGGGAACTTCAGACGACAATCATGATTGTAAAATATAATGATTGTCCTTTAATTTGCTAAAACAAAATAGCCGTGTGTTATTCCGTTAACATAAACTCATTAACTAGAGGAATTTTTGGACACTGGGCACCCCACTAAGATACAAACAAAAAAGGAATATATTCATTTACACTGGTAAAACTAATAAGCAGCTGGAGAACGCTCATCCTTCAAAATAAAAAACAATGAAAAGCCTTAAGTTACACAAATAATACAGTAACACAAAATTACAGGAAGCCATTTAGTACACAAGTATTAATCAATCTGAGGATCCATTCCTAACACAATAACTGACGCAGTTTTATACACAAGTAGAGGTGCTCCGGGGAGCAGAAACTACATTTCAAGAGTTTTCGTAAGTAAACTGCCTAGAAAAGGACAGGATATTTTCGATTGGCTTACAATACGTGTTAAAGTTAATTGTATTACCTTATCTGATATATTTAATGACACCATTGTGCCAAATATTGTCTACTTTCTTATGTTGATAACGCAGAATCAACTTTTAAAATGGATCTCTATGAACATGAGTATGTGAAATAATACGTTCCAAATGATCTTATCCAATTTAATCATGTATTTAAAAGGCTTCTCAACATCTTTCAAGACGTCAGGGTTATATAACATTACTTTATAAAACAAGGATACAAAACATCGTGTAATTTGTGTGAGAGTGCGACACATTTACACATCATTTGGATAATATAATCACAAAAATGTCGGCATTCACCTCAAAAAGCTAACAAAACTATTAAAAAGACTTATTAAGAAGGGATATAGTTACGATACTGTTGTCGGGTCATTAAAGATTTCATATTTTGGCTTTAATATTGATTCACTTATAGGGTTTTTGCATCAGAAATAAACACATTTATTCTAAAACCAGTTGTTGGCATGCTACGGTTTATGTTCTTCTCATATATTTGATGATGGTATGGTACTAAACCCCTAACGGGAGGGATTGTGCTTGATATTCATATGATGAAGACATAATCTTTCAATCAGTTTAAGAGAGGTCTGGAGCTGGCATGTCAGTAACTGCTAGTAGTCCTTTGTTAATTTATGTATCCTTGTCATTTTGTTTAGTTTCTTTTGTTACCTATTCTGACATCGGACTCGGACTTCTTTTAAACTGAGGTTTACTGTGCGTATTGCTGTGTGTTTGTTTTTTCTACATTGGCTAGATGTATAGGGGGAGGGTTGAGATCTAAAAAAAAACATGTTTAACCCCGCCGCATTTTTGCGCCTGTCTCAAGTCAGGAGCCTCTGGCCTTTGTCAGTATTGTATGATTTTTAATTTGAGTTCACATATATATTTCGGAGTTTAGAATGACGTGCATTATCACTGAACTAGTACACATTTTTGTTTAGGGGCCAGCTGAAGCACGACTCCGGGTGTGGGATTTTCTCGCTGTATTGAAGACCCATTGGTGGCCTAATGCTGTTTCTGCTCTTTGGTCGGGTTTTTTCTCTTTGACACATTCCCCATTTTCATTCTCAATTTTATTACATTCAAGTAAATGAGCATAAGAAAGATGCAAAAAACGTCAATGAAGTTGTAAAGTATGTAAAAACAAAAACAAAAAATCTAAAAAATTTCAACTAAGTTTTTGAATAGAAAGTACCCATATGGGCCTTCTGATTACAATATATCTTCTTTTCAATTTGCATATCGTGTTAATTCTTACCATTTTAAATGAAAATTATTTTTTTTTATCTAAACCAAGTTTCGTTTCTGTAATTAAATACTAAGTTGTGATATGAATCTCATTCCGATCGTTTCTGTTGAGTAACCTTATATAAAAGATTTACGTTGTAACCGAAGATATTCTAGATCCGTTTTTACTTTATTTACAGGTAATGCATGGATAGACAAATAATATTTGTCTACATAACTTGTCTTGTATGTGGATATAATAACATTTTTTATTGAGTGCATCAAATTTGGGCTGGATGTTTACTAGCTGAAGGGTCCTGGTAAGTTGCATTACAATGGATACTAAAAATGTTTTATTTATGCCTTTTTTGATTTTACAAAAACAATGAAATATTGTAAATATTGAACACCATAAACGATTCCTATTGTTGAGATGACAGAATATCCTTGGACCCTTGTGTTTTGGGCTTTTAGCTTTGGCCACATTCAATCATTTCTATTCCAATTTGTAAAGTTTGTATATTGTGTTTCCCTTAGTCGAAACAATGGTAGCCTTTCGTTCTTTTAAGAATTTATATAACAAAAGCATTGATAACAACAACATTGACAATGCTGCGGCCACAATAGAATAAAATTTACACACAAGCTATTTTGAACACTAAAAAATATTTCAAAACAAAACGAATTGATTTCCGGTTCTTCTTTGATTCATAAACTAAGCAAAAGCCAAAGATAAAAAGATATAAAAATTTGTTGAAATCAACAGTTGGTGTCTTTTTTGGTTTCGGATGATCAATTTACAATGACGAATATAGGCACTTAAACGCTCTATTTAATATATATTCGTCATCATTTTTTAATTGGGTTGTGGTTGTATTTTAATGAAGACCTTATTAAATTAGATATTTTTATCGTGTATTTATATGACGATTTCAAAAAAAATATTTGATGAAGGAACACATTTTTATAGTGATTTTATGTCTTTTGATGATAAACAGAAATTAGTGTTTTTATTTACAGTTATTAATATGATTCGTTCGCGTCATATTAAAATTTGATTACATAACATTGTAAATAAACCCATCATAGATACAAGAATTAATATCTTGTACGCCAGACATGCGTTTTGTCTACAAAAGACTCAACAGTGACGCTCGAACCAAAATGTTAAAAAGACAAAATAAAGGTATGTGTATGTGTTTAAAGTTATTGCAAATGGCTGATATTTTTGTTCGAGCATATTGTTTTTCTTAAATTGTATAACATTTCATACCGATATAACATATTATTTTTATTATTCTTCCCTTAGTTTATTTATTTTGTTTTTACATTGTATCATAGGTCAAATTTAATTGTTCAGTGTATGTTCACTGGTGTTAATATGTCCTTTGATTGAGTTAAGCTATTTCAGTTGATATTTTATAGTGTGTCTTTCTATGTTGTGATGTTACACTATTGTTTCAGAAAAAGGGTGAAGGTTTGGTACCATTAAAACGTTTAAACCCGCTGCATTTGTTTGCTGTCCTAAGTCAGGAATCTGATGTTCAGTAGTTGTCGTTTGTTGATGTGGTTCATAAGTGTTTCTCGTTTCTCGTTTTTTATATAGATTAGACCGTTGGTTTTCCCGTTTGAATGGTTTTACACTAGTAATTTTTTGGGCCCTTTATAGCTTACTGTTCGGTGTGAGCCAAGGCTCCGTGTTGAAGACCGTACTTTGACCTATAATGGTTTACTTTTATAATTTTTGACTTGGATGGAGAGTTGTCTCATTGGCACTCATACCACATCTTCTTATATCTATGATATGTAAAGCATTGACAATCCAATATTCCAAAAGGTTTTGCCAAGTAGAGGTTACTTATTTCTATGGTACTACTTCCTTAGTATTTTGAAAAAAATCTAAGTTTTATACACAGTTCAATCCATAAAGATGACCTACATTTTAAATACTTGTAAAAAAAAAAGGCAAACGTATGTACCAAATTATAGTTCGTTCCAGAGTGGCCCTCTCCGACACAATCCTGTTACGAAAAATATGCAACCAGTGGCGGATTCAATGGGGGTCCGGGGGTTGGAACCCCCTTTTTGACGATCAATGCATTTTAATGGGGACATATAGTTGAAACCCCCCCCCCCCCCCTCCTTGATCCTGGGTTAGGAACCCCCTTTTTTAAATGGCTGGATCTGCCCCTGCAAACATCAGCATTGAACAGACTTATTGTTAAAAAAGATGTTTTAACCTGTACTAAATTGCATGTACCCGTCCGATCACACAGTGGTTGCTCTTGATTGATGTTTAATATTAATGTTTTATATTTTATTGTTTTTTACATAAATATCATTTTACATTTTGTATGATAGTTTAAAGAGAGGCTTAACATACTAAAGGAGTATTCCAACTCTTAAGACAAAAAACGAACTGACAAGGCTATGGCAAAAAAAGAAAGAAAAAAAGAGCAAATACAAACAACAGTCTAAAACACATTGAAATCTAAAAGCTGATCAACACGAACTTCACCAAAAGCGTTTCATTTCTTGGTGTCTTTGGTGAGTTTTTTCCCCGACATTCATTCATATTATACATAATTTAACATAAATGTATTATAAATCATTTTCAATATCAATAGCATACCAGTTTTTACCGGTTTTTTTTCAGGATCTAGGACATTTATATAATGGGAAAAGGATGATATAGTTAACTACCAAATACACTGAAATAGGAAAATATTTTTTAAAACATGGCACCCCTCTCTTTAGATCAAGAGAATTATGTCCGGCTATGTTTGTTGCTAAATGGAGTGTCGCCGAGGGCGGTCCGTTCTTTTTTTTATGGAAAATTTCCACCAACCACTCTTTCTTCAACACTGAATACCTCCAGAACCATTCTCCTAAATTTGTCTAAGAAGCGAATTTTGAACCAGGCCCAATGGGATCTCCTGTTTCCAAGAAATGGTATGTTTTATTACTAAAAGTAATATGTTCGTATTTATTCTATTGTGTCATTTTTAGCTGATATATATTGGAGAATTAAGAATTTTAAAGATGTTGTGTGTCATGTTAGTTTTATGTTTTTGACAGGCTAATAACTGTTAGGGTTACAACGTATAAAAACAAAGATAATAAACTTACACAAGCTGTTAAATGTCAGCGTATATTTTTATGTTTGATATGCATTATACAAACAACAGCGAAAATACATTCAAAACATGAGAAGAAAAAAGAAAAACAAATTAATTAAAATGTACATTGCATGTATTTATATATCAAGACGTTTTAGATTAGCCATATCTATCAATGAATTGTAAAATAAAGGTTAAATCTTTTTTCCCTCATTACTATTAAAATAAAATATTTTTCTTTATTCTAATTCCTGACTCGGAAATGAATTTTCATGGATATGGCTGTTGCTTCATTCTCTCTCTCGTGAAATTTTATAAAATCTGTATTATTGATATTTTGTTTAACATATTAATTAAGGTTTTAACAGATGCGGATCGAGGATGTTGAAAAAGGGATGCAAACAAGACAACGTTAAGAGTGGAAAATGTAAAACGTGTATACATAAACCATATATGTAGCTCCATAAAACCGAGGGGGTGGGGGTGCAAGGACCACTGGCCTTCCCTCAAATCCGCCTGTATTATTCCTTGTGTTTTAAATAATTTCAGGCATGTGTTTTTATTTCCTTGCAAATATTACATATTTAAGTTTGTTCATTTTTTTTCTAATTAATCTATCAAATTATTATATTCTAATCCAAGACTTTACAACTTTTCCTCTATGTACTTTATGTTGCTTTAGTTTAACATATATATTCGAAATGTGAATTAAAGGATAACTGACCTTACTAGCATCCAACATTTTATTTTACTTATTATATATTATTTTATGTTTTCGTCTCGCGTCGCGTCCAACGGCGGCGATGGTGTCGTCAACAATGTATTACCAGTAGTTTGAGATCAGGTCAATTCTTTTGGGAACCACTAGTGGTAGGTCAGTGATGTGATATTTGGTATGAAATTATATAAGCAATGGCACATCTAATTTCCGTACAGATTATTCGGCCCTGCTCCCTCAGTCATGGTCTATTGACTTTGAAATTTTTGCTTTAAACAAATATGGAAGTTTTTGAAAAGCTATTACATTAATCTGTTGGTCTATATGATGTAGCTTAGCAGTCATATATGAAAACTGTGAGGAACGTGCTTGCCTCAGATTATGAAACCATCAAATGTTTTACCAACAGTGAAATCCATTTGCCGACAAATCATTGATCACCACGATATAGAATTGAACAAAGAACAACCGTTTGAGAATTTAGTGTGGTTTGACTGTACACGAAAATGTTCCCATTGCAAAGAAATCAACGTAGTTGTGGAATTACCAAACATTGTTGACAATTTATCCTTCATGACATTTCATCATGTTCATTTTTAATTAAAAGCAGGATTAAAAGCAAACATAGCATTCAATTTTGGTCTATAATATTTTCTCGGTCAACATCTTTGACATGATCCAAAAATGTAAAGGACAGTTTAAATCACTTTAGACTGCGTTGTGATTATATAAATGCACGAATATATCATCATGTGATTAATACTCATATCCACCAATATGCATAAGACAATGATCTGAAGAAAACGGTCCTTCCTGAGAAAAAAGAGATATTGAACCATTGGATTGGAAATATTTGAATACTCTAAAATAATGGCAATATGGCGTTCCATTACACATGTAGACATTATTGGAAACTTTTATCAATACTAATTCAACTAAAAAGGCGAAAAATCTAAATGCTCTTGTTCAACAGAAAATTTCATGCATGTACTTGTCATACGATACACTTTTGAATGTTTTCAATAGAACATATATTGGTGTGTTGCATATTTGAAACATTGAAGAACTTCTCGTGAATTATAAAAATATCCAGACAGATTTTGATGTAACATTCGACACTGATAGTACCCTTGGCTTGAAAGAGGCAGAAAGACACTTGAACGGAAAAAACTGAATCTGATCTTTGCTGATACAATACATATTTAAAAGAGAGGCGAAAGATACCAAGGGGACATTCAAACTCATAAGTCGAAAATGAACTGACAACGTCATGGATAAAAACAAAAGGTACCAACAGACAAACAACAGTACAGAAAACTCAGCATAGAAAACTAAAGACTGAGCAACACGAACCCCACCAAAAACTGAGGCTACAGATTTGCAAATTACCTGTTACTTTTTAAGAAATTCCACAAAACTCGTGATTGTCATCATGCCATGCGTGAGCAAAATATAAGGGTTAAACAGTTTGGTAGTTTTCACAGAAGAAGATACTTCGGTTATGAGGATATTTTGTCAGCTAATCCAGTGGTTGACTGTTGGAGACCATGAGAATCGGTAAGAACTTGTTTCTATAAAGCAATATTTAGTAAAATATGAAGCATACATGTAATATATCTATATACTAGTATCTATTTATTGTTCTATAGTAATATTCTAATTCATGCGGAATGACATTATTCGATGGGATCATTTTTTTAAAAGTAATCAATGTGAAGCTGCTGACTAAATATGAAGTCGTTCTGTGGAAAATGTGGCTAAAATATCTGTTTAACGAATGGACGTACACAGACAAAGTGATTGCAATATAGCTACTGTTCCTAGAGGGGATATGGTTAAAACAAAACAAGTTATTTCTTATTTCAAAAATGAAACGATCAATACCACAGAACGCTACTATACTATTAAGCTCCCGAAAAAGGACCCAAAAAAAAACCAATATCACAAATATATTGGCAACAAAAAAAATATTGCAATGACCCTGACATATGGTTCTATCAAAAACGGACTCGAAGAAGATGTGGCAGATCTGACAAGTGCACTTTTGATGCCGAACTACTATTTGATCCAGTATCTTTCATTCTTAATGTAGAGATCTATCTAGTTGGTTTAAACGAACGAAGGCGTTTGGTGAGCGTTTAAATAATTTGTTGACAAAATCGAAATGCTGGAACAGTTGAAAAGGACGGCCGCCATTTTGGTTTTTGTATGATCTTTTTGGTATGTTGACTATTTTGTTGTTGTTTACTGCCTGTCAACGGCTGCTTTCAGGGCCAGATTTGTCAGCTGAGCAGCCCGCTAACCACGATGATGAAGTACTGGTCGATGAGTCTCGGAAATAGTATTAACGATGACAGGAAGCATTATCAGGACCAAAGTCGTAAGACAGCGAAATGGCTTTCCATTATCTAACACCTAGGATACAGACCCTCGGACGTCAGTCGGCATACCACTCCCTCATCCATAATGGGTTTTGGAGTGTAGGCTGACGCGAGTATTTACATAGACAACAATGTAGACGGTATAGCGTTGGATTGGTTTCTGTCATCGAAAGTAGTAAGTCGTTGATCCATCTATCAGTAAACCAACATCGTATATAGCGGGTAAAGTGGAGCTGACCCAGCACGTCCTTTCAGTTGTAATGACTTAGACGTGAATGTCGATATGAATGTGATGTAGAAGAAAGAGAAATTGAAGATCTTTATCATGTTTTTATGATGAAAGTAAAAACAGCAGCAGCAGAGATGAATCTGGAAACAACAAAGAAAAAACATCTTCAAACTTGATGACAGTTTTTAGTTTTAAGGCTTATGAGCCATATTCACTTCTTTGTAGGCATCCAACACCTTACATTCGAAGAAACAACAACGAGTTCTGGACTTTGGACAGGTACATGGATATGTGGGAGTTTTCTTTTAACTTGTTTTTGAGATCTGAACCCTCACATGCTTTATGTCTTGATCAGTAGATTTTCAGGAATTATATCATTTGCATGCGAGTAGAAGAGGTTTAACGTTGATAAGGTTGATTTAAAAATGCCTCTCATATTGTTAAGAATCAAGAGCACTGAATGTTTTATTTATTTCCTTTCTAGTGGATATCTTATATTAGCTTCCTTCACATGAAATTCACAAGAAAGCTTTCACTTAAGGAAAATTTTAGGATATAAATGTTGCATGCTGGATGCTGGCTAGTTAATTACAGCTATTTTTAATGCAGGAACCACTTATTCTTGAATATCTGTTTTGTTTATTTTGAATTATCTTTGGTTGATTATATATTATTTCACAATCAGGTAGTAATTAAAGTTTTGCTTCATGCTAACTTTTATGATTTTATAAAAACTCCATATGTGAGGACATTTAAGAAAAATATATCTAATACATACGCCATGCGGTTTACGTGGGTTTACTTGCTCATGTGTCACATGCGTACTTTCACATACATGTAAAACGCATGATTACATGGTTGAATCATGTGTACCACATGCGTTTTCCACACGTGTGTCATATGCGTGGCAGGAAACGCCTCAAAATCACGTGTGACATGAGGAGAAACGCATTTGTCACACATGAGAGACTCATATGTCACGCATGCGAGACGCATGTCCTAACTAATGTTGCCTATTTTAATCCACTATTACCCACCAAATTTCATTTTTTTTTCACAAACCGTATTATGTTTTCCATTTCATTCGAAACTTAACTGTTTCCCATAACCTTATCAAATTCACTTCATTTTTTAAAGTAGCTCAACAAACTTCCATTATTGATATAAAAAGTATAGGTTGGTTGCAATGCTTATGAACATTAATAATGATACGCTATTCAAACCCTTTTCAATTATTTCCGACATAATGAAAGACGTTGTTTTCCAATGTAGAGTTTCATAAAAAGGGTTAAGATGCTATCAATATCTATCAATATAATATCTTTTTTATTCAAAAGCAATCCAGCTGATATCGGATACATTTTTACATTAAATATTCAATGCAATAATCATTAAAAACAATACAATATACACATATGGCGGGGACAATAACATTATAATGAATAAGAAATACAACTACATACTACGGATTTATTTAGATATTGAACAAAAATGTATCTACATTA